TTCAGTTGAAGACCGAGACACAACATCATGTTTGACCGTTTTCCATGACAGAGGAGAACCTGCAAGTTGAATAAACCATCCTGTAGTAGAGCGACGAGTAATCGGACAAGAAGCCCAATCACTATCACACCACGCCGTGAGAGTGAGATCCGCATCTGCTCGAAGAAGGATACCTTGGCCAGGACTAGATTTCAGATACCGAACCACTCGGAGGGCCGCGTGCCAATGATCCTGTTTAGGAGCATGCATGAATTGAGACAAAACATGAACAACATATGAAAGCTCCGGACGAGTATTGCAGAGATAAATCAGTCAGCCCACAAGACGCCGATACGGAAAAGGATCAGGTAACGTGTCCCCTTGTGCTACTGCGAGTTTGTGATTCTGTTCCAGAGGAAAAGTGACAGGTTTCGCTCCAAGAAGACCAGTATCGGAGATGATGTCGAGAGCATATTTCCGCTGGCAGAGATAAATGCCTTACGGACTTCGAGCCAGTTCAATACCCAAGAAGTAACGCGCAAGACCCAAATCTTTCATCTTAAAACAACTGCTCAGGTAGTACTTGAAGCGTTGAATAAGCACCAAAGAACTCGCAGTGATAATCAAATCGTCGATGTACACGAGAACATGAATCCGATCACCGTTTTGTGCAAATTGAAACAATGAATGATCAGAACCGTTCTGAGTAAAACCATACTCTGTTAACGAAGTGGTAAGCTTTTCGTACCAGCACCTACGAGCCTGTTTAAGGCCGTACAAAGATTTATGTAATCGACATACCTTGCCTTTTTCTCCAGTTCGAAATCCAGGAGGGAATTGCATATAAACTTCTTCATCAAGATCACCATGGAGGAATGCGTTGTGTACATCCATTTGGTGAACCTCCCAGTCATTTGAAGCTGCTTGTTGCAGAAACGTACGAATCGTAACCATCTTGGCAACAGGAGCGAAGGTTTCATTGTAGTCAATACCCTCAGTCTGATGATTTCCGAGCACAACCAAATGTGCCTTGTGGCGTTCAAGTGTGCCATCCGAGTTGAACTTGAGGCGAAACACCCATTTGCAACCCAAAGCTTTCTTTCCTGGTGGAAGATCTTCAACTGTCCAGGTTCCTAAATCATCAAGAGACGTGATTTCATCTTCCACTGCAAAACGCCACTTCTCGTCCTGAATAGCTTCTTTATAGCTGGTAGGTTCTTTAGCCGAAGTAATAGCAAATAAATAAGCTTGGTAAGTATCAGAAAAACGCTCACTCGACAGAAAACTTGCAATGGGATATGGAGTTTTTGAGAGTTGTGGTTCGTGAAGAAGAAAACACACATAATCCTCAAGTTTTCGAGGAGGACGTTTTATACGAAACCCACGTCCAAGTTCTTCAGGTGCATCATCGCGCTCAGAGTCTGCCAAAACTGCAGGCTGTAACGAAGTGTCAGAGGACGAAACTGCAGGCACCAGATCGGAGCACTCATCATCAGAGGACTGAATCGCGTCGGATGAAGATGAAGACTGCTCATCGAGAAGCGGTGATGAGGCAATATCGGGTAAAATGCTGTCATCGACCATAGGATCAGGGAGAGAGCTATTCGTCTCTGCAACAGGCTCGCTATCCCATCGAGTCGAGGTGGACGACGGGATGCGCAGAGGCGAGGTTCATCACTGTCAATTTGTGAAGACGCTGGAGGAAGTTCAACAAGCTCCGGACCTGAGGTTGATGGCGAGGAAATGGACTCAAATGGAAACTCTGTTTCGCAGAAAATAACGTCTCGAGATACAGAGATTTTCTGAGTCTCCAAATTGTACACACGCCACCCCTTTTTACCAAAAGGATACCCGAGAAAAACAGATTTCTGTGATCGACTAGCAAACTTATCTCCACCATGTTTCTGATTATGCGTGTAGCAGAGGCAACCAAAAACTCTGATGTGATTCAACGGAGGCGGTTTGTTGTATAGTAATTCATACGGAGTTTTACCGTTTAGAAGTGCAGATGGGGTTCGGTTGATCAAATAACCGGTTGTAAGAGCACAGTAGCTCCAAAACTCAACTGGAAGATGGGCATGAAACCGGAGAGCCCGAGCTACATTCAGGATATGTCTGTGCTTGCGTTCGACGCGGCCGTTCTGCTGTGGTGTTCCAACGCAAGAGGTCTCATGAATGATTCCCTTTGTGCGAAAAAAATCGGCTAAGCAGGTGAATTCTGTTCCATTATCGCTGCGAATTGTCTTTACCCTCTTCTCAAACTGTCTTTCGACAAGAGCAACAAAGTTTCGAAGATTGATTGGTGCGTCTTGTTTAGAGGGAAGAAGATAAATCCATAAACCTCGTGAGTAGTCATCTAAAATGGTGAGGATATACTTGGAACCACAAATAGAAGTAGTTCTATATGGACCCCAGAGATCGCAGTGAATCAGCTCAAAAACCATTGACGTTTTATTGCAACTTAAAGGAAAAGAATCTCGAGTTTGCTTAGCTCGAATACATACGTCACATGTTTTAAAATCAAAAACACCACTACTGCTTAAATTAGATAATTGTAGCATCTCTAGAGCTTTCAAAGAAGGATGCCCCAATCGACTGTGCCAAAGTTTCAATGAGGGAGCTCCAGTTTGCTGAATTGCCGCTGCAACATCCATTCCTCGAAAAAAATAGAGACCATTCACTTGTTCACCCGCTCCAATCAGCCTCCGAGTGATGCGATCCTGAACCACACAAATCCAATCAGATATCTGAAAAATGCATCCCTTATCCCGAGTCAGCTGAGATACAGAAATCAGATGGCAATGTAATCCATCAACAAAGAACACATTTTGCAGACTAAGAGAAGAACCCATATAAGCTTTCCCATGCTTATTCGAAGTCGTGAATCTACCATCAGGCAGTTTAATAAGCATTGGCGACATATCACAGACATCAGTTAGGAAATCAATGCTTCCCGTCATATGGTTCGTGGCCCCTGTATCAATAATCCAAGACTCAATGAAAAACGTACCAGTAGGAGGTCCTGGAGCCGGTGATTTACGTGCATTGAGCATCTGAACCAATGTTTGCCATTGCTGATCGTTGAGACCACTGAAACCTACACGATCTGCTGAGGTAACAACCGAGTTAAACGAGGAAACATGATTAGCTTGAGCTGTATTGGAAGGTTTTCCGCGTGATGGTGCAGACGACGTTCCCGAAGAAGTGTCGAATTTTGGACATTCGAGTTCCGTTTGTTGCGAGCACGTTCTCCCCACCACGGTGGATACCCAATTTTCTTGAAACAGTTGTCAGCTAAATGTCCATTCCGGCCGCAGAGAGTGCATACGATTATCCCAGCTGGAGCATCTTGACGAGGTTTGTGCTGAGTCTGAACTGCAAAACTCACCTCGCCGACACGCTCTTGATGTAAACGAGCAAGTGACCTCGATTCCTCATCTTGAACAAGGATATTGTATGCCTCATCCAAAGACGGCAAAGGTGTACGAGACAGCAGATTTGATTTCACTGTTGCGTATGAGTCATCAATTCCCATGAGACACTGATGCAATTTGTCCTCTTCGCGTTCACGGCGTACGTCCTCCAATGTCTTAGCTTGTTGGTAATCAGCCAGACTGGTCCACAATTTTGTAAGCTTTCCAAAATACGTCTCCATTGGCGTTCCTTGCTGTCGACAAGTCGCCAGCTCTGTTTTGAGTCTTTGTACTCGTTGTCCGTTTTTCACGGCAAACCGTTTTTGGAGTTGAGTCCAAAGGCTAGCAGCATCATCGCAGTGTGAGAGAGAGGAGCACAGAGATTCATCAATAGTGAGTTTAATCCATGAGATCACCAAAGCGTTGTTTGCACACCAGTCTTCATAGTCTTGATCATCATCATCGGGTTTTGGAATGGAGCCATCAGCAAACCCAAACTTCTTTCTCGCCCGCAGAGCCAGACGAAGACTCACGGACCATTCATCGTAGTTAGGTCCACGCAAAAGAGGTCTTGAGATGATGGTTCCCGGATTATCACTTGTGGTTAGGTCATACGCCGAGATCGTTCTTCGTGAAGTCTCGACACGAGATCGGAATTTGGAGAAGATTATGGATCCAGTATCATCTCCCATCGTAAAAGAAGTTTCGAAAGAGTAATAGAAAAGATACGATAACCAAAAACCTAGTTTTTTAGGTTTGTGGCTCTGATACCACGTCAGGAAACCTTAGTAGTGTAAAGGGTTTTCTTATTGAACTCAATGTTAAGGCATTGCCTTATATACACGATATCATCTTAGGTTAAACTAACACTAATGATACAATATTAAGAAGACCTAATATGGTCCAATATAAGGCTCTGATTGGTAAATAAACTTTTAAAACTGTAGAAACTTTAAAGAAAATTAAAAGTCTTAAAAGTCACTAATTAACTAATCAGATTTTATTGATTTAACAGTTTTTAAAGTCAAAACACTGTTTTTAAATTTTCTCACAGCTTTCTCTTTCTATTTTTCAGGTAATCCACACTTAAGTTTTAAAAGTATAAACATGTGGCTTTTATTTTTTTTCTAAAGCCACATCTATTATTTTACAGCCAAAATTATTTACAGTTATAGTTAAAAATTAAAATCTACAGCCACATTCCTTCGAAATCAGACCCTAAGTTTATATAGCACATTAAATTTTTCTCTGTTTTTAGTTACTTTAAATTTATATCAATTAATTGGTAACATTTTAAAACATCTGGTTTTGAAAGTTTAAAGAAAGTTGGATACTTGGATTGTTTTACCAAAAATACATTTTCTTTTAGATTATTACCACATACAATAAATTTTTGTTATTAATGTTATCCATTTGTTCCGAAAACCGTAACTACTTTAGCAAAAAATTACCCCCTTGAAATTATTTTTGAAAGTCCAGTTGGAATTAAGCTTCTAAAAGTAAATTCGTAACCAAATTAAATTTTCCAAAAAATCAAAAGAGAAGTAAATTAAAAAGAGATCCTATTTTGAGTAATTTGCTAATTTCAATTGAAAGGCATGGGCCGCGCGTAGTGCCCTTTTCTCATTTAATTAAAAGAAAGAAAAAAAACGGAACTTTTCGTCTCCTCTTCCTCCTCGGCGATTATTGCAGTTATCGTCGTCGTCCTCCTCCTCCTCGGCGACGGTGACGACATCGGAGGGGTGGTGGTGGTGGTTTACATTCTAGGAGCTTTTAATTTTTCATTTTCGAGACGGGTTTCGCTGAATTTTCCTCATCGGAATTCCCAATTTTTCGTCCACCTTTCTTTTCTTCTGCAAAATCATCGTTCTTCCCCATGGATTTGTCGCATTTGTTGGTACATTAATCCCCTCTCCCTCTCTCGTTTCTCGATGTTTAGTTTTTTTTTTATTATTATTTTATCTTTTCTCGGAATCTACACGATAATGCCGGAGAAGCCGGATCCATGCCCTTTTCATGATTTGCTTTTCCTTTTTCAAAATTCTTCTCTCCGATTTCTTCGTTTTACTAGAAAATTGGGGGTGTTTTTGCTTCGATTAAGCTGTTTCTCTCTCTCATCTATTGAAAGTTCTTCGATGAATTGAATTCGGATTTATGTGAGACAACCTCTCCTTTTTTCCAGTGTTTGAAGCCGTAAAGGAACCGGGAATTTTTCTGGGGACAGACAAAATCTCAGGTACAAATTAGGGGTTTTCTATTGTATGATTGATTTGGGTCTCCATAGATTTACCCAAAATCGAATCTTATAGCAGAAAGTGGGTATTTTTGAGTAGCAATGTCGTTCAAGAACATAGTGCGTGAGCTTAGGGGAACACGCAATGAGAGGAACAAGACCATTGGTCGTCGAGGGAGATCGCACATTGCTCCAGAAGGATCTGCGTCTTCTTCTCCATCGACAGATGAATGTTTAGATCAGAGCATTTGGGTTGATTTGCCTCCAGAGTTGCTTCTTGACATAATCCATCGAATCGAGTCTGAGCAGACTTCGTGGCCGGCGAGGAGAGACGTCGTTGCTTGTGCCTCTGTTTGCAGGTCGTGGAGGAAGATGACGAAAGAAGAAGTTCTCAAAGTACCTGAGCTCTCTGGTTTGCTCACTTTTCCGATTTCGTTAAAGCAGGTTTTACTCTTTTAACACACTCTTTGAAACATTGTGAATCGTTGAAGTGAAGTTCTGAATACATTTTATTGGATGATTTCTTGATTCAGCCTGGTCCTAGAGATGCTCCAATTCAATGCTTTATCAAACGTGAAAGAGCTACTGGAATATACCGTCTCTATCTCGGTTTAAGCCCTGGTAGCTTACTAATCTCACCTCTTATGAATTTGAGTTCGGAGTTTGGAGTTTTGGGGCTATATATATCATCCTTTTCTGTACCATTTGCAGCTCTTTCCGGCGACAAGAGTAAGCTGTTGCTGTCGGCGAAGAAAGTCAGGAGAGCGACTGGTGCTGAGTTTGTTGTGTCGTTCTCAGGAAGTGACTTCTCGAGAAGTAGCAGTAACTACGTAGGAAAACTGAGGTATGTAAGGTTTTGATTGTCTTGATTGTCTTTATATCGCCATGGTATTGATAAGTTTTTGTTGTGTTTTGTTGTGGATAGATCTAATTTCCTTGGAACCAAGTTCACAGTCTACGAAAACAAACCTCCTCCGGTTGATTCTAACCGTAAGCTCCCACCATCGATGCGTGTGTCTCCATGGGTATCATCATCTACCCATAGTTACAACATAGCTTCAATCTTGTATGAGCTGAATGTCCTTAGAACCAGAGGTCCAAGAAGAATGCAATGTATCATGCACAGTATCCCGGTTACTTCGATTCAAGAAGGTGGGGAGATTCATTATCCAGCTGAGTTCACAAACCAAGGAAAGAAGATGAAGAAAAAGAAGAATCCGCTGATGGATTTCTGCTCAGGGAACATGGGAGGAGGAGAATCCGTTGTAAAGGAAGAACCATTAGTGTTGAAAAACAAGTCGCCGAGATGGCACGAACAGCTTCAGTGCTGGTGTTTAAACTTCAAAGGTCGAGTCACGGTTGCATCGGTGAAAAACTTCCAGCTAGTTGCAGCTGCTGCAGAAGCAGGGAAGAACATGATGAACATACCAGAAGAGGAACAAGAGAGAGTGATATTGCAGTTTGGGAAGATAGGCAAAGATATTTTCACCATGGATTATCGTTACCCGATCTCTGCATTCCAAGCCTTTGCCATTTGTTTAAGCAGCTTCGACACGAAGCCTGTCTGCGAATGAATGAAACTAAAAACATTCTCGAATTATATATTCTCTAATTTGCAGTTGTTGTGTGGGTTAATGAATGTACATACTTTTCCTTCTTGGTTCTATTTTTTTGCCATTCAACTTCATCTTCTTAATTTTTAATTAAAAAGTAATTAACTTTTGGTTTAGGCAAGGTATGTCTTAGTCTTTCTTTGGAAGCAAAGATCATCACCAATCTCAAAAATCCTTCGTTTATTACAAAAACCCAATCTCTGTTTCTGTCTCTGTTTCATCTTAACATTACAAAAACATTTTTAGGTATGAAAGGTTTTGTGAGAGGATTATTAGCAAGAGCTAATTATGAGATGCCAAAGATTCAGAGGAAGTGGGAATGGATGGAATCGGCCGGTTTCGGTGGCGTTACTTCGTCTCCGCCGCCGGAGAAAGGGTTGGAGAATCTGACGGTGGCGGATGTGCTGTTGACAAAGGACAATGACGACGGCATGGCTGACACGTGGATCTCCTGCCGTACAAACGACACCGTTTTTGATGCCGTTAAGAATGTTTGTTCAACTTCTCTCCTATTATTATTCGCTCATCACGTTACATACGATTACACCTATAAACGTGTACGTATGCATCGAATACACACGGAAACCGGAAACGACATTTAAGCCCCTAAGTATCCCTAATTATCAAGTTTATAGGATTAGTTTTTTTTTCATAATTAGGTTAATCAGGGTTTGTACTATTCGACTAATTGAGGAGTGAATGCGAGTGTAACTATACTACTATAGTATTCCATTCACCGGGTTTTTTAATAGGTATAAACATGATGCTATTTTTAACTAAACAAATGAGAATAATTAGATAATTTTACGCTTGATTAAAATTGTGCCTTGGTCGAGATCACGTCTTTGTTATTTATGGGATAATTTAACTTTCTTTTTCGCAAAATCTGTTTCTTTGGAAAAGCGTGTTTAAGTTGGTATGATGCATGCAAGTCTATAAATATCGAACTAAATTTAGGGACTTCCAAGAGTAAACTATTTTATGTGCTTATATAAAGTTTTGTTCGTGGCCTACTCCACGTTGTTGTGTCCCAGCTAACAAAGACGTGGTTGATTTGTACATTCGGTGGAATATATATAATACAAAGAGAAAGAGTCAAATACATGTCTATATATATGTGCGTTAGTTTATGTCATGTATACATAATACATTATATATCGATTGAATGAATGGGACCAATGTCTTGGACAGTTGGACATTTAAACATTATAAGTTAGTAATTCTCATAAATGAGAGTATTTTGGTCTTTTTTTGTATATATAGAACAATAACGAGAACTATATATGGGTGGATATTTTTTTTCTATATGCAGTAAGTAATTGGTTTCTTTTCAAACAAAAAGCAGATGGCAAAGCATAATATTGGATCGTTGGTCGTGTTGAAACCTGGAGAGCAACAATGTATCGCAGGAATTGTGACAGAGAGAGGTAGAAGCTTTTTTTAAATTCAGTTATTTCCAAGAAAAAATACCCAACAAATGAGTTGTGAGTTGTGACCAACTAATATCTTGTAAATTTTTAGCTACCGGTATAAAAAGCACATTGATCCAAAAAAATATGTATTCATGTGATAAACACAATTTTTTTTAGCTAAGATTCTCCATTCTGTGATTATATATGTGATTAAAAACTCGTGTCTTGATGATTGGTTGGGTTTTAGCTGTAGAATTTAGTCTGTGTTGCTTTACGAAAAAAAAAAAAAAAAACAGGTATCTCTACTTGACACTTAGAACTGCTAAAATGAGATCCACTTAAATACTAGAACTGTAAAAGGTGTAACGTTGAAATGAGACCACTTAAATACTTAAAAGTTTGACTGGAGAGAAATAAAAAACTGTAGAACGGTTAAGGGCTGTAATAATTTTCGACCGCCAAACCAATCACCCCCAATTGTTGTAAATGCATGTATCCAAATTTTAACGTGTCTACATGTAATTTTTTGTTTTTGTTTTTTTAACTATTGTAATATTTTTGTTTATATGATGATAAATTGATTTTTGAATGTGAAAAACAGACTATATGAAAAAGATAATCGAGGCGGGAAGATCATCAAAGGTTACAAAGGTTGGAGAAGTTATGACGGACGAGGTCAGAATAACCAAAAATAATATTATTCTTAAATTAAAATTATGAGAGTTTTTATTCATCCTGTTAGGTTTTTTTTTAATCCAACTAACCAAATATGTAAAATTTTGGAATACGTTGGCCAGAGCAAGCTGGTCACTGTTTCGTCTGGAACAAACATAATCAAAGCAATGCAGCTTATGTCAGGTAATTTGTTATCTTTTTCATTTTTATATATTTTAGAATATCAAAGATGTAAACAATGTTTTGAGAATGTTGCAGATAATCATATAAGACATGTACCTGTGGTTGATGGAAAGATAGTTGGAATGATCTCCATGGTTGATGTCGTTAGAGCCATTGTGGACCATCAAACTGGAGAGCTCAAACGTTTAAATCAATTTATCAAAGGAGACTATTACTAGTACTTTACAATCCACAAAAAAAAAGAAGATGAAGCTTACGTGGTTTCCATATATAATACTATATCAATGATTATGTAAATACTCTAATCAAATTCTTATTGAAAATAATATGAACATAATGCCCAAAACCTTTTAATTTGGTTGCCCAAAACCTTTTAATTTGGTTACCCAAAAAAAAAGAGAAAAAATATCATTTTGTTTAGTAACTAAAAATGAGTGTATTGTTATGCTTATTATTTTTTTTAATTACTAGGAAGTTTTGGACGTAATCCCCTAAACTCCTAATCCCCTAAGCTCGGAGCTCCACATTATATAATATTAGTTTTCTCCTAAGCACCATTAGATCATGTGACTTTTAGACTTTGCTTAAGGTCAAACAATTGGTATATATATATGTTATTATGCTTAATTAGAGTCACAGGTCATCAAGAACGCAAGTATAATAGGCAAGCCACAATCTATAAGGAAACTGAAGTATAAGTTGACTTCCTGAGACTCGAGTATTTTCTTGTTTCCATGATCGTCTCCAAGAACCATATGCTTATCTTTGTCGTGACAAATTTGACAAACGTAATAACACCCATTTCCTTTTTTCTACAAATTAAATATCTTTTGATAAAAAATTTACATTCATTAATCTGCAAAATCTCCATTGATAATTGAACCCTAAGTAGAAACGATTACTTGCGTAAATGGTTTCCACGTTTAATTTAATTTAATGGTAAATTGTGGAAACCGATTTGGCACTAACCGATTTGATGCCGTTATTGGAGCGGTTTGCTAAAATAACAATTCCAATTTTTTGGTTCGGTTTAATTTAATGGGCGGAGTCATAACTGGGCTGGGTCAGGGAGAGTCCATGGGCTAACTGAAATAATTATAGGGTTTCATTTTTTTTCTTTTCTAAGTTTCTCTTTCTCGTCTACACAATTCGCCATTTCTCTAGCGTCTTTCAGAAATCTTCGATTCAGCTTCTACCTTAGACTGTAAGTGCTTCGGCTTCGATTTCTGTCTTGAGTAAATGTTTCTTTGATTCAGTTTTAAATTTTATAGGGAATTTAATACTATGTTGTATTTTTTCGCCGCTTCGATCTGATTACTTTGGTTCGATTCCTACTCTCGGATCTGAGACCATTTTGTATGTTCGATTCAACTTTTATTCTGGGTTTGATTCTGTGAATTTTTTTTTTACATTTGATTCCTTAGGTGGGTTCATCATTTTGTTTGCTTTTTTCTTTCTCTCAAGAATTTTAATTTCATATGGTCTAGAATTTAGAGATTTTGAAATCTTCTCATAGTTTCAGCTAATAGTTAAATCTTAATCGTTCAATATCAAATGAAAGTTTGGGAAGAAAAATCTTTACCCTCGTAGGAACATTTTAGCTGCAATTGTAACTGTTACAAGGCCAAGTCTTGATGTTCTATGCTCTTTATTTTAGATACATTTTACAGACCTCTCAATGTTTTAGAAATGTTGTTTGTGTAATTGTCAGTGGTTAATCACAATGTTCGTATCTTTGTCTTGTTGGATATCTTTGTTAAAATGCTGAGGAATTGAACCAAATCGACCAAAAATGTGATGTACGAGTGTATTCAGGATCAGTTTAGTTGAAGCAGATTTGTGGGAAACTTTATTTGGTCTTCTGCAATTTATTTGTTACCTGGTTTTTGGCTTCTGGTTCTATGTAAAAACCTCTCAATGTTATAGAAATGTTGTTTGTGTAATTGTCAGTGTTTGGTCTCAATGTTCTTATCTCTCTTGTTGGATTCTTTGTTAAAATGCCAAGATTGAATCATTCGACGAAAAGCTGTGATATATGAGCGTATTCAGGATAATTTTAGTTGAAACAGATTTGTAAGAAACTGCAATTTATTTGAGTTTTGTTGATTTTTGTGTGGGTAGCCATGGGGAGAAAGGCTGGAAATTTGTACATAAACCCGAAAAAGCTTGGGGGTATAGCAAAACCATGTATGAAGGAAATGGTATCATTCTTGAACTGTATGGCTCTTCACCAATGCAAAGATGATAAATGCGAGAAACAGAAGCAACTTCTTAGCGTTTGTATGCAGGGCCAGGTTGATAACACTTTCATTTCTGGGTTTTCTTATACTTTTGTTTTCTCTCGGTTTTTCGTTTTCTTAGAATGTCTTGCTTTTGCAGGCGGAGAAGTCGAAGTCTTGGGGAAACATCAACTACCATTTGCAGAGGCTAACCCGAGGAAGAAAGTAATATAGCATGGATCATGTATTCATGGAGACTGATGATAGATTCCGCTGATGGGTCAACTGGTAGCTAATGCTTATTGATCACTTTATTTGTATCCCTATTCTTTTGGGCATATGTACAAGTTGTTGGGCATCTAGAAGAAGAGAAACATTGGACACATTTGTTCATTTAAAGAGAGGATTTGGTCTCTTTGTTTTGCAATAAAACATGTCTTCTGAGCCAAGGCAGAGAGGTCCATGAGTGTTAATGGTGTTCTGATTACGATTTTCAATTTTTTTTTTGTTTCTTAGTCTCTGTATCATTTTAGTTTTATAATACGTTTTCGAAGGGACAAACAGTAATTGCATCTTAGTGCCTTTATATTACGTGTTACCATCATTTGAAAAAGTTCCTTACACAATATGAGTTTCAATAGGGTACAATGCAATTGAATTGATTTGGTTTAAATTTACATAGTTTTGTTGATAAACATTTATGCCTATATTAAACATAAATGTTTGCTAAAAATTTGGTAACCTCTCACTCTGAATCGGGTGTTTTCTCAAAATTTCCTCCAGGATGCCTTCAAAAACCATAAAATAAAAACTGGTTAATGATAGTACAAAAGATATGGATGAATGGTACACCATTTTTCACGGTTGGAAAATTATTAGAATAATGGACTAATTGCAACGATTTTCTAACTGACCCCTCTCGAGATCTCATCTCAAAAATATAATTACAAAACGTACCATGATGCAGTGTTCTTCGGATCAACAGGTTTTGATATACCATATATTTCAAGAATCATGAACTTGAATTCAAATCTAATTAACAATGAGATATTCACCAATATAAAAAATAGGTTATTCACCAATATCAGTTATATGTACTATGTTAGATCTGTCTCCATTTCAGTATGGGATATTTTAAAAGAAAACGTGGTTCCATTTTCTTATATAAAAGCATTTATCAAACTTTACTTTTCAGTAATTTTATCATATATGATTAACGTATTACAAATATAATTTGAAAAACAAAACATCATTAACAAATAAAAATATCTTTCAATCTCTTATATAAGGTAGCAAGAACTCTATTCAATTAATTTTCTTTTGGTTACTTGGTCAACTATTTTGATTTCCACTATTCATCAGGTATCAGTCAAACCCTACATATGTATTTTTATTCTTAATTGAACGTTATTGCAGTAATTATATCGTAATATATATTACAAGAAATATTATAAACTGTCGATATATTGGAGCCCTAATATAAGCTGAGAGAGAACCCTAATACATTTCTCTTATTAAAATTCCAACAAAGTTCAAAACTCATACCAAATGATAAAATTTTTAAAATAATTTTTGCTTACAAAAAATGCATTCACATATACGTGAACGAGGCTCAATATAAGAAACGAAAAAAGTAAGTAAGATGGATTATAGAAGGGAAAAAATGAATCCAAACTAAACTCAATTAACATTTGTCGTTTCTCCAAATATTAGACCCTAACAACAAAAGAAAGGAAGTCAGAAAAGAAAAAAAGGCTACCTGATTTTGCTAGTCGCCCAATCGGCCCATGTCTTAGCCCCTTCAGCAGCCTCCCCGGCGCTGCTTTTGAAACTCAAGGCGGCAGCCTCCGCCGCAAGAGTCACCTCATTGGCCGTAACTTTCACCGGTGGGTCTTCCGCGAAAACACTTGTCATTATTATTATCACCATAAATATTGTTGCAAAGAATTTAACTTTTTCCATTCGGTTTACACAACTTTTTTCTTCTACCTATCAAAAATTAATAAAAATTATTACTATTGATTACAATTTTTTTTGTTTTAATAATATAGATTTTGTTAAGTTGTTTTGTGTTCTATAAGACAATGGATGTGTACTATTTATAGGGGCCTTAATAGCGACTTGGCGAAAATGGTGGAACACAGTTTTTTTTTGTTATTGATTTTTTTGATAATATTTAATTTTGAGTGTGTATGTTTTTAGCTATTTTTTTTCTTTTTTTTTCCTAGCAAAAATACTCATCTTATTGATTGAAAAGACATATTTAATCTATTATATTAAAACAGAAGCACATTTAGTGCTTGCATCCAAACACTTCCAAAGTTTTTTTATAATATTTTATTTTATTTTATTTTTATATTTAATTTTCGAAAATTAGTTATTAATTTAGATATTCTTAGATTTCCTAAAATCTAGGTCATCTTTAATTTAAATTTCAAATTATTAAAAATTTAATTAAATTTAGTTACAAAAATTTACATTCAATTTAATTTAAATTCAAAAAATTCAAAAACAATTATAATTAAATTTTATTACGAAAATTTAGATAATAATTTTAATACTTTAGAATTTCTTAAATACAGAAAAGATTTAATTTACAATTTTAAATTTAAATAATATTTTTATAAAAATGCATAGTAAATGAATATTTTATCGTATTTTATCATAAACACTCGGTCTAAAATATCAAATATTTGAGATTAATAAATATTTATATTATACAATAATATGATCGAGCTGATTAGAGTTATATATATATATATATTTAAGGTCTATGAGTTAATTTATTAAAACATGTAAGATATTAAGATGATTTGAGACAATTAAACTAACAGGTTAGCCCGTTTATATATATATATACATTTTTTTAATAGCACAAATAGTAAATAAATATCTTATTATATTGTTTCATAATCAATTGGTCTAAATATTCCATATTAGTAAATATTTATAGGGTTATATAATTATAATTATAGTCTTATACGGGTTAGTTTGTCAAAACATGTAAGATATTAAAAATGATTTAAGACAACTAAACGGATGGATTAGCAAATTCATAGATATATAGATTGTTTATGTGTAAATCTAAATTCACATAATAACAAAGTTTATAATTAACAATAGATCAATATATACTTTTATTCTACTAATATACAAATTTTACAGTTTAAAATTAAAATATGATAACAATTTTTTGATTTAAAAAAATAAATAAAAAAATAAATTATATTTAAACAAAAAAAAGATAAATGCAACTTATATTAGAAATAAAAAAATAAAACATTCCCGTGCGGATGCACGAGGTTAAAATCTAGTATATAGTAAAACACAAGTCACTTCACCAATGATATGGTGATATGACAAAAAAAAAAAACAAAAAAGTCAGTGTAGAAGACCAAAAAAATTTATATTATTAAAACAGAAGCATGTTTTATCTTCAAACAGATTTTACTTAGTTTTCTACTATTTTATTTTTGAATAACTCATATTTATGTTACCAAACAAGTCAATTTAATGTAATATTAATAAAATAATATATTTATAATTTATATTTTAAAATAAATTCGAAAATTTAAATTTAAATTTAGATTTGTTATAGATTTCTTTAAATATAAGTTATATTATTTATCAAAAATCATAAAAAAGTTATTATTGTTTTTACAAAAATAAATCTAATATTAATTTAAATAATATTTTCAATGACAAAGATAAAAATAATATATTTTTTTTTTTGCAGTATATTTTTATTAAATAAGTTTTAAAATTTAATATTTAAACTTAATAAAATATATAAAATATATAAATAATATGAATGAATAGGTTATAATTATGTTTTAAAAATTGCAGTTTTTTTGGATTAATATAAATAAACATGTGATAATGACGTTTTATAATCGTTGTACTTTCGGATTAATATGAACAGACATGTTAGAATAATGTTTTCTAATTACGGTTATATATATAATAAAAATAAATTAATAGAAACAAATTATATAAAAACAGAAAAAATATATATCACTTATTAGAAGATTATATCTAAACAAAAATAAAAACAAAAAATTATATTACAAAATTTAATAAATTATAAATAGTTCTCGTGCGGATGCACGGGGTAGAATCTAGTTATATTTAAAATTCAAAAAATCCTTAAACAAAATTAGAAAATTCCTGACGGTAAAAAAAAAAATTCCTAAATTTTTTCCCACTATTTCACGATGTCTTCACAAATCCAACTTCCTCTATCCAATACTCACTATAAACTACTGTTATCAATCAAATTAAAATTTTAAACTGTTTGAGGTCTCGCTCTTTATCTTCTTTTTCTTTGACATTCATCTAAGAAAATTCCTATTTTTTTTTTGTTGAATTCATAAGATTTGTTGTAACGGATGCAAGAAAAAACAGTAAACGTAAAGATTGCTACGTCCATGGGCAAAGAAGACTGATTTTATTACATAGACAGAAAGTTTCAGAATACATCAGAGATTAGGTTAACATGGTTATTTATAGCATAAATCCTAGTTAACCCTAATCGCAATTGGGCTCACTCACTTTGGCCCATGTAAGAACCTTCATGCAGAAATAACGGCCCAAGTGCACGCAGACTTCTGCATTGCTCACGCAGGCTGTAGTCTTCAACATCAGCTTACACAGCATGTATATCTCAACATCAGCTTCAGCGTGCAGCATGTAAACATACACACACAACCTCAAGACGCAGCATGTAAACTTAACATGCCGTAAGCATGCTTGATCACGCAGGCTGCATGCTTGATCCTACAGCCTGTATGATTGATCGTGCAGCCTGCACGCATCTGCACATATCAACGCCAGAAAGCTTCTGTGCTCCAGGATTCAAGGCATATCAACAAATCTCCACCTTGACTTGAATTCTCTAGAAAGCTTCTACGCATTAGGATTCAAGGCGTATCAACAAATCTCCACATTGACTTGAATCCTACAGATAGATGTATCAGATGCATGATAACACTGGATTTTGACCATTTTTATGGATCACTTTAACGTCTTTTACGGGTGTTTTTACTCCATTTTCAAAGGTTTTCAAAAGATTTCTATGTTTTCAGATTTTAAAAGACTTTTCAAGTAATTTGGGATAAAGAGGCAAAAATTGGAATAAAAAGACTATTTTGGATAAATGCAGACCGTCAGAACTCTCATGAAGAGACGAAGACCTTCTCACCGACTGATCACCCTCAAAATTGGACAACTTATAGAAGAATCAACCAGCTTTCAAATTCACTTGGTTTGTAGATATTCCAACGGTTGGATCTCAAGATATTCCATTAGCCCCGGAGACACTCAAAGACGGCCAGCAAGTCACGCGACCGCAGCCACAAGCCTATTTCCCGCGGTCACAAGCTTCCCGACCACGGCCAACCACCTATTTCCTGCGGTCACGTTACTCCTGACCGCGGCTGGCCAACTCCGATTAAAAGCCCATATTTCTGAAGCCCAAAGTCATTCTCAGCCTGAACTCTGGAACCCTAGAGACCATGGAGTATTGAAGACTATAAATACTTGTCATTTAGTTCGTTTTTAGGGAGAACCTTCATATTTTTACAGAAACCCTTTACCTTTAGCCTGTTTATGTGATTTTTATAGAAGATTGTTTAAGTCTGAGTTCTTCAATAGAAAAGCTTTCTTTCATCTCTTTTCTTTACTGTTTTTGATTACTTTTATTAAAACCAATGGTAATGTCGACCTCAGCCATGTCTGAGTAGATCCCGAGTTGGGCTTAGGGTTCCCGAAAGGGGATCTCATAATCGATTAAGACATCTAGGTTTATAGATCTGGGATTTTAACTTTGTTCTCTGTTTATTTTCGTTCTTATTTCATGTATGCTTGATTGATCACCTAGTATCTGATCTAGATAGTTAGTGTTGCGAAAGTTTTCATTAAGTATCAGACCTAGAATGAAACAGGCGATTTTTCCGTAGGAGTGGAAACCTACCTGCGGCGAGATCGTGAGTATTGACGAGTCTTGTGCAGCTCTTGCGTTCTCTCCCTTCCAGGGCCAGAGTGGAAACCTACTGGTCAGGGTTACAAGAAACAGTTGGTTATGATCATGACAGTGGCGTAGTCATACTGCCGTACTCTAGCTCTAGAACCCTATCTTTCGATATCCGTCAATCCCAATCTATCATCCCTAGTGTTAAAACCCGATTATGATCCCTGAAGAGTTCCCGAAAGCTCAGCGTTTTAGCCATAGTTTACAAACCAATCGATTTTTACTTGCTTATTTAGATCTGCTTTTTATTTACTTCAGTTCGATATTCTGCTTGCTTCATTTGCTTTTCATTCGATTTTTTTACTTGCTTTCGAAGATAGATTTATTTGCTTTCTTTTGTTTTAGTTTAATCCGTGACAAACAACCAACCTCTAAAACCAATCTAGTCTAGGCATAAAATTAGAAATCGTAAAAGAATACCGAGCACACAAATCTCTGTGGATTCGATCCCTCAATACATCAACTGATTAGCTGTGCACTTGCAGCTTTCATTTGTTTTTGTTAAGGGTAAAACTTGTTCCCTCACGTAGTTGACACGCATCAAGTTTTTGGCGCCGTTGTCGGGGATTTGTTTCGCTGCCTTTTGTTATTTTTCTTGTTCTAATTTCTAATCTAGACACCTGATCTCTAGTTCTTTCTTAAAGTTTGCTGAATTATCTTTCCCTTCTTTTGTTTTTCTCTGAATTGCATGAATACCAGGCGCAGACCTGTAGAAAACATTCCAATTCTAGAAGAGATAGACAGACACAAAAGAGAACTTCAAAGACTTAGACAAACGCAAGGAATGACCAACAACGACCAGCCTGGAGATCCTGTTAACTGAGCTTTAAAAATGGACCAGACGGGTCCGACCATGGAGAAAATGAATAGAACGATCACAGAGGAGGTGATCATGCTCGACAAGATGGAGAAGATGATGAAGTCCCTCCAAGAAACCATCAAAACCGCGAGAGAGAAGAACGTGAAGACCTTGATGCACCCATCAAT